AGCCGGAGTGCAAGGCAGTCTGATCATGAGATCAACTTCTTACACTACAACTACTTATAACAGTTAGCAGCAGTTGTTTTGGTGCAAAGCTGCGTCGGCAGCCTACTTACATCCTTTTCCTACTGTTTTAAGTCTCTTGTAAATTGTCAGTTTCTTTTTTAAATGGAAATTTTCTTGCAAATTAAAAGCATGACTGAGAAAATATTGCTCCAGGGAACAGGAAATAGTTATTTTTCATTTTTTCTAATAAACAACGGGAGAAAGGTTCTGTTTGAAACGCCATCAAATGCCGCCAGAGAAAGAGAGAGAGAGAGAGATTTTAATATGTAGGATTTAGAGATCAAGTTAAATTTAGGTTTGACATCAGACATATCAATAACTCTGATATAAGACCTGAAATTATTCCTTATGAAAGCTCAAGAAAAAGCTTTTATGGGTGATGGGTCGATTTTGAAGGCCACAGCTTAGTCAAAGCATTGGCTGAGGCTCGAAAAGACCAAAAGCAGGAAGATTCATTTGAACCCTAGCTTCTCCATTTCTGTTTTGAGCTATTCCTTTCGTAAACCTGGAAATCTTTCTGACTCACACTTTTTTATATTCATTTTTGAAGAATAATTCTCAGCACAACTCACGAAGAAGAACCCAAATTGTTCACACTTGACATAGGCTTAATTTTTTTGGGAAAGAGCGCTCCCATCTAATCCCCACTTCAAAAGATTAATTCATTCCTTCTTCTTCAGTGATAAATGCAACCCCCAACACATGAGAACCAAAATCAAAGACGTCACTCGGCACTGCTACCGTTGTTGTTTATCTAATAATCTAGAATCTTGACAAATTCGCGATTAAAATCCTTCATGTGTTGTTAAGAAGTTGGACGAGAAATTAAACGTCATCTTTATTATCGTATCCACATTACAAAAATGCTGCGAGCCTGATCCTTCATGGACCCTTCTGCGTCTCAGGAAAACAACGATTCCCACGGCCGAAAGCATCTGACGACGTCCACGCAATCGCTTCTCTCACAGTATCAAACTCTTCTTATTATCAATCTCTGCAATTTGCATCCAAAGCTCAAGCTACCCCAGCCAGCATTCATGGCGGGGTGTCCCCTCAGAAACTGTCTCCTCTTTGTTTGTTTGTTTTTTTATCAGATTTTTTTTTTTCTTCTTTCTATTTGATTTTAACTTTCCCTGATTGCAGAATAAATTTAAACTCATTAATGGCGATGGACCAATTGTCCCCCCCAGAGGAGTGCCATGCGCGCATGTCATATTTTCGTTAGTTTCGATGACAATTCACGTGTTCAATCCGACGTGACAAAACCGGAATGAACGTTGAGTGCAATAAAACCACCACTTCACGTGCATAGCAATCGCCTTCCTCCATTTGGACAGTCTGATAAAAGTGTGTTGTTCCTATTACGTTTAGTTGCTTTTGCTCCAACGACCAACGCAAATTGTAAAAGACTCCCATCAATCAAATCAAATCAACTCAATTCCACCGGTCTCTTCTCTCCAATTCTGGCTAATGCTCAGGGATTTTGGGTTGACTGCCTTTGGTTGTAGGATTATCCACGTCTTTACTCCCAACACCAAACCTTTYACTGGCAAGACCTTATAAATGATGGGTCCCATCCCATCTATCTCTTGTCCAGGGATATCTTCCCCATTGGATCCACAAAATATCTTCCCCATTGGATCCACAAAAATATCTTCCCCATCTCCGTATTTTGGGCCCTCATCATGCTTCTGAATAGTGACCAGTGGGATTCATACACGTCGAAATCAGCTAACATTTTTATTATACCCTGGATTGAATACGCCGCCTGTATTGATTAATTGGAAAAGAAATCAATATTTTAAATTTATCTTCTAGCCACGTGGCAAGGCGTTTTGGACTCAGATTTATGCCATTGGGCCATCTTTTACACGATAAATGACAAATTGGGTTGGGAGCCGGGAAACTCAAATTATAGTAGGGATAAGTACACTGCACTCCACCAATATAGTATAGCTTTCTGAGGTAAGTCATAGAAATTAACTGTGATTGAGGTGCTCATGCTCAAGCTAGCCCAGGCCCCAGGGTACTTTGAGTTCCACTCGATTTTTTGTCTACTTGGTCTAGACCTCCAGATTTGCTTTGTTCAGTGATCTTATTATCTGATCTAATGTAGAACGTTGGCATTATTTGGTTGAATGAAATTAGTCCAAAGGGCTTTCAGAAAGAGAAGAAAACGTACAAATTGGTTTGGAGTTCAAAATCTTATTCCACGTGCCTTCTGCGAATTCAACTCAAAAGCCCTTATCAAATTAACCCTTTATTTTGTGTTTTTTGTTTTCACTTCCACTTCACTAATAATACGAGAGAGAGAGATCAGTGCTGCTTTGCTGTGTGCAGTGGTGCATGCATTGTTAGAGGATAAGAGCGTTGAAAAATGAAAAGAAATAAATAAAAAAAAAAAAGCACGGATACAATGTTCCTCGCTCGATGGCTAAAAATGAAGAGAGAGAAAGAGAGAGAGAGAAACAATCAACAACCAAAAGATAATGTATTGAACCCACACTGAGATTTTACAACGAATCCAACCCTTATTATTGTGAGAAAAAACCACATGATGGGTTGCTTCCACGTTCAAATCGGTTCCAGTACAAGTCCCATTTTATATAATCCAAACACGGTGCTTGTCACTAGTCACCCACAACCCACCCTGATCTCCTTTCTTTATTTACATGCTCTGTCCCACCAAATATTCTCTCTCTCTCTCTCTAGAACTCTGAGTTTCCAGCAACGTGTCCACGTATGGATGAATCACTTTTTTCTTCCGCTAGAAAGATGTGCAACATTTGTCACCACAAACTCTTGTGATGTACCTTGATGAGAAGATACGGTATGCAATGTCAATTTCTGTTATTTTCTCAGGGTATCATGTCTTAATTATCACAAGGGCACCTAATTATATTTGTCCTATGATCCATGAACCCAAGTGGACGGTGGCACCAATGACCAACCTCATTAATTTTTCTACAATACAATGGGCCCTCCTTGGCCCATTTAGAGAATTAATGCCTCATTTAAACTGCCATTTGCAATTAGATTCACAGATGTGTTGTTTGCATTTGCAACGAGGAAAATTAGTTAGACCCATGAGTATTTTCAAACCAGCCAGTTAACAGATAAAAGTGATGTTTATAGTGTTGGAATAGTTCTTGTAGAGCTCTTAACAGGGGAAAAACCCGTATGCTTACAAAGATCACAAGAGCGAAGAAATCTTGCAACTTATTTCTCTTCTTTAATGAAAGAAAACCTTCTCTTTCAACTCATTGAAGATCGAGTTGTGAACGAATAAGGAAATTCTGAACAAGTACTTGCAGTAGCTGAGTTTGCAAAGAGATGTCTTAACTCTTAAATTGAGGGGTGAAGAGAAGCCAACCATGAAAGAAGTAACTATGCAGCTAGAAAGACTCAGAAGGCCAGAAAAACATCCATGGGCTCAACGAGAGCAAGAAGGGAGTGTTGGCTTGTTAGCTGAACCATTACACTTCAAAGCTCTCATGGACAATATAGTTTAATTGGATGCAAGTTTGGACGAAGAGTATTATAAAATAAATATAGAATAAGTAATATTAGGCACATGTGTACAAGCTAACTTTTCTTGTATTGCAAATCAACTTTTTATTTTTAGATGATTATATTAGATGGATGGACTAATTTGTTGATTTTAGCATGGTTTTTAAAACCGACCCAGTCAGGGGTCCAGTTATCGGGTCAAACGGTTCAACCATTCGAATCGAACGGTCAACCCGTTTTGACAAAAATTAAAAAATGGTCAAAACCGTTCGAACGGTTAACCGCCTGAGTCAGCGGTTTGCTGACCAAAATCAATGGTTTTTTGAGAAATCCTGATTTTTCTGGTCCGACCGTCTGGTCCAGTCTGGTTTTGAAAACCATGGATTTTAGTATAACATTAGTTTTTTTTTTTTTTTTTTTCTTGGCATTCTTCTTCAATTAACTTTTTATTGTCCATCTTCTAATCTGGATGCCCTTTGATTTGCTTACCCCTAAAGATTCCCTATTTCGTTATATTAAGTTGTATTGATTTCCATCTTTAAAACCAAATTATTTTGCAAATATCTACTTATCCCATTACAAAGAGCATTTACATATTGGGTTTTGAGGGAATTAAAGAATAAAAACAGCTTAAGAGCTTTTAGGTTAAATGGGCCTTGAGATAGTGGTATCAGAGCCTATTTGATCAAGTGATCTAATGGGCTTTTGTGTGAAGGAGTGTGTTAGAAAATAATAATCTATTCAGGGACCTCACCTAACAGTTTAAGCTTTTAGGTTAAATGATTCATTGAGAGAGGGAACCAACTAGACTCAAATTCAATTATTCAAGTGCTTAGAGAGTGTTTGACGACATGCATGAGTTTATTTTTCAGGCAATTTCTATAATACTACTGGAAAGGTATGCCCATAAACAACTGCAACATCAAAAAACAATTAACTGAATTGAATGGACCTAAAAATTGCTTCCAATGACCAAGTGTATTTGAAAATCATTTTATTTAATACTTTTTTGCATTATGAGTTGATTCTAATTTTATTTTAGGTATCAAAGGGTGAATCATCACTAGAAATCTGAAAAGATATAAAGAAATTTCTTACTTGAAAAATAATCATAATTAATGTTAGAAGGAGGTCGTTTCTTGGTTGCATGTATTGTTTTATTTGTTTTAATAAAATTTCCACTTACACCCACCAAAAAAAAAAGTGAAATCCCTTTGATGTAGTCCTATTGGATAAATTTGTCTGATCATACACTTTGGTCTGCCAAATGTCACCGCGTAGTACTCTGTTTTTTCTTCTTTACAATATACTGATCAAGGGGGAAAAGGGGCATAACACTAGCCCGAGAGTAGGCCCATCGTGCAATAGCATGGGCTAGCCCATTAGTACATCCAGATTTTGAAACATAATTTGGGTATGTAAAAAGGGGGGTATTCGGAGGTTTTGAAAAGTTAGGGTATGTTACAACTGTCATTTGCAATATAGTTTGGTTTAAAGTTGGAAATCAATACAGATTAGTAGTACATTGAAATGGGAAACCTTGGGTAAGCCAATCAAAGGGTGAAAGTTAATCAAAGAAGAAGAAGAAAAGTACACTAAGACCACATCCAGATGATAATATCATCTGAAAACATAATGGTTTTATAATCACATGTGGATGGGCAATATGAGAAGCTCTTCTGCTCATGTTCCATATAATCTTCCTAATGACACCTGTGCACTTTTCAACGGGGAAAGTTCATAGACAATAACATACTTGTATCCAAACTGCATTGTCCAGATGTATCACAAGAGTAAGAGCTTTGTGGTATAGGATAGAGGTCTGAAGGTTCAGATAACAAGCCAACACTCTCTTCTTGGTCTTGCTGAACCCATGGGTGCTTTTCAGACCTTCTGAGTCCTTCTAGCTCCATGGCTACTTCTTTCATGGTTGGCCTTTCTTCACCCCTCAAGTTGAGGCATCTTTTTGCGAGCTCGGCTACTGCAAGTATTTGTTCGGATTTTCCCTCATTTACAACTCGATCTTCAAGGATTTGGAAGAGATGGTTCTCTTTCATTGAAAAAATGAAATATGTAGCCAGATTTCTTTGTTCTTGTGATCTTTCTAAGCATAGAGGCTTCTTCCCTGTTAAGAGCTCTACAAGAACTATTCCAAAACTATAAACATCGCTTTTCTCTGTTAACTGGCTGGTATGGAAATACTCGGGGTCCAAATATCCTAAAGTCCCTTGGACTAATGTGCTTACTTGAGTTTGGTCTATAGGCACCAACCTTGAAGCTCCAAAGTCAGATACTTTTGCTGTATAATTATCATCTAATAGTATATTTGTAGATTTGACATCTCTATGAATGATTGGTATTGAAGCTGCAGAGTGTAGATAGGCAAGTGCTCCTGCAGTTTCTGCTGCGATCCTCAAGCGATTTTCCCATGAAAAATGGGGGTTTCTATCTTTTCTGTGGATGTGGTGGAAGAGAGTCCCATTAGAGACAAATTCATAAACTAGCAAGGGTACTTGAGTCTCTAAACAACACCCTAAGAGCCTCACTACATTTCGATGGTTGATTTGAGTAAGAATAACAACCTCATTTATAAATTGCTCAATCTGGCTTTCATCCACTATTTTGGACTTTTTGATTGCCACTATTCTATCATCCGGTAGAATACCTTTATAAACTGTACCATACCCTCCTCGACCAAGGATTCGACTCTCCTCATAATTATTGGTGGCTACCTTTAACTCTTCTTCCGTAAAGATTGTTGTCGACTCTAAACCACCTTCATGGTCATGTGAAGATATTTGTTGTTGTAGTAACAAACCACCATTTTGTTTAAAGAATTTCTCTTTCAACTTCATCAGCTTTCTTTTTCTTATGCTGAAGTATAACCAAGAAAATATAACAAGTAAAAACAACAATCCAAAGCCCAAACCTGCATACACATGTGAAAATGAGTACATAGATATCTATTCATAATGTTTTCTTCCTAGGTCCCAATCACAAGTTTATTGCCTACATGAATTAGACACATCAATTTACATAGTTATCTTTTAATTGAATATTATGTTTCATGAAATCTTCCTTTTTTCAGGTTTATGCAACCCCCAGAAGAATTGGGATCTGTTCCTCCCATATCACTCCTAATTACATCCACCTCACAACCACATCCCACCATGTATTGAGAATATCTCCCCATGCATAATAAATACAAGTATGGAAGATGTTCCCGATGTGCGACCAGGACATTGCTGTGAGGTCGGTGTAAGGAATGCTCCGAGTGGAGAGAACACGTAATCAAACACAAATTAAATAGAGCATATACTTGGAATAATGAACTGGAATAGAATTAGAAAAAGTTGTTAATATTCAGAATTGGATGCGATTACCTAAAGTGGCCTTGATTACTGGAAATTCTTTGCTTTTTGCAATACAACCATGCCCATCTTTTCTACCATCACCTTCACTGCCCTTTGGACATGAGCAGTAGTAAGATCCTATTGTATTTGTACAAATTCCCTCGCAGGGATTGTTGTTTGGATCCTCACACTCGTTTACATCTATCAAAAAAGAAAGAAGGAAAGAAAAAAACATTAGTTCCAAAATTTTGTGTCATAAGTTGCAACTCCAAACATCACATAGTAGGAACAAAGAAAGAAAGAAACAATAACTTGATAAAACGATATATGGGTCTCATGCAAATCATGGTACGAGTCTCCTGCTACTTAATTAATCGTATAGTATCCAATAGATTGATTAAATTGTTTGATCAATTTAATTGAAGTATCAGAAAATTAGATTCTTTGCTCTTAAGCTTAATAACTTGATGAAAGATGAGGAATGCTAGCAAAAAAATGAGTTTATACAAGTCTTGGATGCTTCTTCCTATAGACATAGGGGGGGGGGGGGCATGCATGAAAAGATACTATAGAACTAGCAATTGATTTCATTGAATGAATGGAATATATCAAAGAGTTGGTTCAAGTCTTTAATTTGAACTTATGTCAACATAATGGAAGTTTTAATTAAAAAAAAAAACTGAATTCACATTAGCTCATAATTGACGGTAAGGATGCTAACTTGGGTGAGCCTAACCAAAGTCCAGGCTGATCCAACCCAAAATTCTAGTTTTTTGGATGGACCTAAGGTCCTAAGCTAAGCCCTCAGATAGTCCAAGCCCACTCTGATTATCATACATGTGAGCAAAATACATAATATTCCTATTTAAAGGTTGAGAGTACTAATGTTAAATAGATTTAGGGCCATTTTTTAACATATTTGGCCTAATAGAATGCTTGAGGGCCTTGAGCTTGACTAACCAACCCAAGCCTAATTTAAGTGTCGAATGTTACTTCACCCTGGGCCTGAGTTGAATAGATTGGATTTGACCTTGGACTCAAGTGGTAAGGTTGGGCCTGCCTTAACCAAACCAAGGTTTCAGTTTTTCACCCATACATCACGATAGCATAGCCTTAAACCATAGAAGCATAATAAAAGAATGAGGAATGATGCCAAACGACGAGTTTATGCAATTCTTCTTAGATTTCCTCGCCTTTTAGATAATTTAGAACCCATGAAAAGACCTATTTAAATGTAATTCATCATCTATAGGTATCTAAGAATCGGATCAACTCGTTGTTCACCAGGAGCGCAACAAATAAAAGAATTTCCAAGACTAAAAAGCAGATACCGAGCTAATCGATTAATAATCAACTGTTGAGCATTACCTTGACAACCGTTAGGGAGATAAGGATTACCCTGATAACCTTTTTTACAACCACAACGATATCCTTGTCCGTTGTTGGAATCGTAACAGTAGCTGTTCTCTCGGCACGGAAAGGTGGTCAAGTTTCTTTTAGCTTCCTGGCACGTCTGGTTCCCCACCACCCAATCAAGCACCACCGGAATATCTGGAATCCTAGTTCGGAAACTGGGGTCCGACACATCCGACGCCTTGAACGTGTAACTATCTTGCTCACCCAAAAAAGAGTAGCTGCAAGCATCAAAGGACCATACTCTGGTGCTGTTATACAAGCTGCCAGAACTCACGATGAACCTCTTTAACCCCTTGGGAATGGGGACCTGACAACAACCGACGCCGGAGCATACGCCATCGATGATGTCCTCTTTGTGGTAGCACTGAGACAAGCATCCGCTTGAATGGTTTTTCAGGTTATGCTCCTCAACCCCCAGGATTAATGCGAGCGAGTCGCACCCAATCACTGTAAATCTGTTTGCAGTGTGTGAGAAGGTGAACGGGGTGCCGTCCAAATAAATCCAGGCCAGCTTGTAATCTATGACCGGACCCGATTGAGCATAACAGGTGAAAGCGAATGTGTTCTTAATGCGAGCCACGTCTTGAGATATTTCTACAACCTCGATGTTGGTTTCGCTTAAGAAGGGTTTGGGCGGATTGAAAGTAGTGTTGCAGGTTATGCCGTAAGATGCATCGATGGAACAGCCCTCTCCTATGCCGAATGGGTAAGGAATACTAACGTTCCCACAGTGGGATTGGCAGCCTGGCTTTGCTGCCTGGAATGCCGCTGCCCATGGCCATGCTACTAAGGACAGCAGCCATGAGAGCTCAAGTAGGAGGAGATGCATGCGCAGCACCATGCCCTTAATTCTATCTTTAGTTTCGCTCCTTCTCCTGCTGCGATTTCTTTCTCTGAGTGTCGTATCGCCGTTTCAGAAATATTTCAGATTCAGAGTTGTCCTTCTTTTAAGTAGAGACTAGAGAGCTTATATTAGGTGTTAGTGTTATTGCGGCATTGACAATTTTTGGAAGATAAAAACATTGACTTTCGTTTTTGGCATTGTCGAACCATGATCGACGACTTTGGTTTAACGAAACCTGTGTACAGCTAATAAGTAATAATGCTACTTTCTAGCTCAATCCCATCTAATCGCCTAATACAAATAATTTGGTTGACTTGAGGAAAACCCAAGCTTGAAGCATCTGCACCAGTGTTGACAATGGCATACTCTGGGGAGGCTGCTATTTCTTTCTTACTTCTCCAATTTTGACTGGCTATTATCAACCTTGATGAGGATTGATACTATGGATTTCTGATTTCAGAGGGTGGTGGTACAAATATACAATCGTCCCTTCCACACTAACAACCCCCATTCTTCTTGACTTGTTTGGTTGAATAATTGAACCCTATGCCTGCAGGCTCGGTGTGGAAAGAATACAAATACTTATCCCAATATATTTACAGAGTTTTGGTGCTGCCGTGTTGGTGTTGCATTGTCGATATTTTTGTCCTCCTTTCTTACAAACGTTGACTTTTATTTATTTATTTATTTTTTTAAAGTAGGATTTGATATGATTTATCTTTGCCAAAGATCGAAGATCCAAGGGCCTAACCTAACTTTTGTTTTGCAATAGAATACTGCCTTGAACCCTTTTGACGATTTGGGTTAAAGAAACCCCCATGCAGCTAAATGCCTAATGCTACTTGCAAAAGCCCAAGTCTAAGCGCCTAATACTGTTATTTAACAACAAAACAAATAATTTGGTTGACTTGACGAAAAACCCAAACGCCTAATACAAGTGCTTTTCTCATTTTATTAATACAAAAGAATGAGTTTAATTATTGGCATATTCTTTTTTTTTTCTTTTTTATAATTGGTTCTCTTTTGCAGATATCCCACCCAGGTGGTGGTTCAATGCTGAATGCCATATTATGCGACCCTTCCCCAACTACTTCATGCTTCCTACAACCTTCTCTCCTTTCACAGTTGATAAAAGCTGAAAGTACTGGCCATGAGAGCACTTCTCGCAGCCAGATTGCTGAAGAATGTGCAAATCCTTTGGTGCTTCAAACCACTGGTCTGCCTATATATGCTTGGCCTGTTGTCTGCAGAATCCTTGGTGAACTGCACTGAATTATGTTATCAAGAGTCCCAAATTTCATTTATTTATATATCTAGATATCCGATTTGAATCCAATTCGATAAGAATTTAAGGGTCTGCGTGGGAAGAGAGCTAACATAAATGCATATAACCTTGCGTATTTGTATTTGCATTCTTCCCGAACTGAACCTTAGAAGATCAACCGATTTGTATAAATTTACAAAATTAAATATCAAATAGAAATATATGTTGTGAGTGAAAATAATAGTTTTATCTAAATCTCAAATCCCACTAAATTCTAAAGAATTTTAATACTAAACAAATGATTTTTATATATGCATCCATATAATCAGATAGGATCAGATCAATAACATCCAAGTTCAACCCAATTATGGCTTAATGGATATCTAAATCCAACATAATAACAAATCAGATTAAATCCAATCTATTTGCGATCCCAAGGAACCCACTTGAAAGTTGAAATGAAACAGAATCCTAGATGTGTGATATATGATGCATGTGATACACACAAGAGAACAAATCTGTATCTTCACAGGCAGGGAAAAGAAGGTATTCGTTTAAAGGCCAATTGCCGTAAGCAAGAGGAAACAAACCCCTTGCTACAATGCTTAGGAACCAACCAAAGGAGATTTAGAATTTATGAGAAGTACAAGAGATGGGTTGTTTAGCTCCGCCCTTGCTTTAGCCGATTCAGATTCAACGATGATTATCTCAGAGTCAAGTCAGTTTTGCCTGCGGCCGTCTTAAAGAGATGTTTAGTTTGGATGTTGCTTGCACTCAAATAACATGACTTTTTATTCTTCAGCCATAAGACTTGCAAACTAGAACGGTGCTTACATGTTTTGATTAACCACGATTCAGGCTCCATTTAAAGGGGTTTAAGCTTTTGCTAAGCTGCTTTAAAGAAGCTTAGCAAAGAACTTCATGAATGGCTAAATAATAGTCAATTTTAGGTCTTAAATGCTTTTAACAAACATCATTTACATGCTTGCCAGATGATTTTAGACCTCCAAAGCCACCATGAAAAAGCCCTCCCAAAAGAACACTCGTAGCATCTAACAGCTTGTTTCCCTGTAATCATCAGTTGGTTACAGTCAGCCACTTTTTTCCCGTGGGTTGTGGGAAAAAGTAAAGATGCTTCTAAGTTCTAACCGCATGAAACAACATAACAGGGTTTCGTCTGGCAACTCAACAAACTTGAAAAATAATAAAGTGAACAAAAAAGCTTCCAATTTAAACTTAGAAGAATTGATAAAGAAACATTGGGAAACCTATACAAACACAGCCTATGAGAAACTATATACTTGAATATGGCTTTTCACTTGGCAAAAAACGGATCATCCGAATCAAAAGATCCACGACTGACAGACCGCTGACTGCCCGACTCATTCGCTAAGTCCTTCCGATGGGATCATTGGAAAGCTTCTCTTTTATTGTCCCTTCCATCACCAGACTTCACTGTCCCTTCCATCTCAGAGGTAACCAAAGTTCCTAGGATTTTCTTGAAAACAGGTTTTGTACTTTTGTCTATCAGATACTATGCCTGTTATCTTGTCACACCTGCTCAATCACATGTTCCTTTGTTTTTTGGTAAAACAAAACTCCATTAAGAACAGCAGGCCGAAGCCAAAACAACACAAAACAGAGAAAAGGAACAGACACAGAGACCAACACATGTTCACACTACAAACCATAACTAAATTATCTAGATAACAGGAAAGCTAAGAAAGGAGCCTCAAATTGATGGGAATATGCCCCCATTTATCTACTGAATCACGATTCCCTTCAACCCTTCCTGCTATCATGCAAAATAGACGAGCAACTTTCACCACATAGCTGTCAAGGCAATGGCAAGGTGATAGGGAACCCATGGAGGGTCACCTCGCTTAGACGCCTAGATATTTTTAGAGACTTCAAAACCTGAACCAATAACTCATAAGCAAGGAAGAGATTGAAATTTGATCCAATTAACACATTCTTCTTATTTCTTTTCTTCCTTTCCTACCACAAAAACAGGGATCAGCTGAATTTTCTTTTCTCCTTTATATTCTCTTTAATATTTTGTTTTTTTTCTATTTTAATATGAAGTTTATAATTTATGAAAATTACAGAAAATCACCAGTGAAAGAAGTTGACTGTTGGTTGCTATGAAAGGAAATTATCCTAAGATTCATGTTTTTTCAAAAAAAATCCATTGCCTAGGCGACTAGGCACCCACCCCGTCACCTAACCTCGCTTTGGCACCTTGAAAACCATGTTTGACCATTTCTTTTTCTTGCAACATTCACATATGAACCACCTCAAACTACAGCTTTTTCCCTAAGCCTGACCTTCACATGCCCAAGAATCCCCAATCTTCATTTTTCCTCCCCGTGATGCAACTGAAAACACATTGATGACCTGCAAGTTATACCAGCTTTCGATGACATAGCACCTGGAACCTGGTTAGCTGGGACCAACGATTGGTGATGGCCCAGTACAAAGCACCTGACACCAAGTCCTAAACAAGCATTACAACGACTTCCTGCCATGTCCAATGAATAAAGATACAAAAACTTCCCGCCAAATAGAAGTGAACCCACAAATCTTATATTCCCATATAATTAGTTTGAACTGTGAACATCGTGAGGATGAAATGAGAGACCTCAGAGAGAGAGAGAGAGGCAAAGAGAATGATCAAAAATAAAAGAATGAAACAGTTACCAGTGGACATAGACCTGCAGGCTCAAAATCGGCAACATCATATACTGAACTTCACCAAAATCTTCAATTAAATTCCATAGAAGATTTTTGCAGAAAGTATTCACTTACCTCCCCCCCCCCACACACCTTTGATTCCCACTTTTCCTCCTCGTGCAAGTGGACTTCAATCATATCATACATTCCCTAATGCAGAATACAGGAACCACCCTTTTGTCACTAAGTAGCAGCCTTGAATTCCCAAATATCCCCAAATCTAGAAAAAAAAAAGTTCACCCTAAGAGCTCCATTGACCTCCCAAAACTATGGTCCATCACTTGCAACTTTGTAACTCAAGACACAGACACTTTAGTCTGCATCAACCACAGATTCTTAGTAGGCATTGACTACAATTAAGTCAAAACACCAACACATCTACATTTTCTAAATTGTTTTAGGAAATGCGTATAAGCATCCATACTTAAAACATGGATATGACACTGAACAGAACAGAATGACAAAACAGGATTGAGGTAGCCAACCATATAGTTGGGACAAGGCTTAGAATCTTAGATTCTTAGATGATGATGATTTAGAAAATATTTAGACGCATATTATACATTAAAATTAGTGAGATAACATACAAATGATAGTTCTAAACAATACAATACATATTTGTATAGAGCAAGACTTCCTTAAACAAAAGCTTTCTTCCAACAGTATGATAGAGAGGGTGTCTGACATGACTAAATCTCAGAAAGGGACCTTTAGATAGCCTTGCTATGTTAGGTAACTGCCTAACTCAGGGCTTTTCGAGGAAGCCTGCCTCCTGAAACGAGAGAGAGAGAGAGAGACTGAATTCCCAGAATCAATGCTGACTCTTCCTTTCTTTATTTATAACACTCGGCTATAATTCTATTATATCAGCCTCTCCACTTGTCCAGTTTGTTATGTAGTTTGTTCGAGTGGTTGGCTTTCTGTTACATTATTTAAAGGCTGACGTGGCATTTTCTTGTACACTTGTCCCTCTGTTCCACTTATTTGTGTCTTAACAGTCCCTCCTCCCTTGAAAGAGACCTTGCCCTCAAGTGGGAAATCTATTCTGTAAGTCCAAGTAAGGTTCCCAAGTTGCATCT